TGGTAGTCTCTGCTTTCAGCCAAGATCCACCTGACATGAACAGGGACATCACTTGCTTGATGTGCTCTTCTAACTCCAGCCTGAGTTTCTGTCACTGTGTTGTTACAGCTGTTGTTGGATGATTTTCAGCAATATTTTACTTTCATGCTATATTGATTATATTGTCATATGGGGTTGAAATAAACTTGCTATCACCTAACCACAACAAAGACTATAAAAACCGAATGCTTTGCTGAGTTGGAAATTTGCAATATGTAAATGAGAACCAAGGTCTTCATGGTCCAATTTACTTAATTACATGTGGCCTGGTTGTTTTTCCAGAAAATATTACTGCAGTATTAATAAAACAAATTGCATTCCAATAGAAATTGAAAGCAATGATAGAAAGAGGTTCAGCTGAGGCAAAGTCCATTCAAATCTTTTGGAGGCAAACCTTCTTTTGCTTTACCGGTGAGATCTCGGCCACCAGAGTATTAATGAAACTTCTGGATATAATAAATATATAAACACTGAGAAAAGACTGATAAATGTCAGTTAGCCCTAAAATGTTCGGAAGAATTCGTTCAATGGGTTTTAAATGCTTTTACTCTATGTACTTACTAGAATTCTACATGTTCATATATCTTCCTATATATATGAGAGGAAGATATTGCCAATACATGTAAAATATAGTAAAATAAAATATCTCATTATTTTGATTTTTGCTTTATGTTCTGAAAAGGATGACATTTAAAGTCATCCTTTTTTGCTCTCAATTACTAGAAGTCTTCTGACCTCTGGGATGCCCAAATGTGAATCTAAATTCATAGTATGTTATTTACCTAAAATCACTTTTGTCATTGAAGTTCATTTTAATTATGTGCTGTTATGCTTTCATTTTTCCTTTGTTGATAGAAAGCAATCCTTAACTAAAAGATACTTTTTGGCATACGCTCTCTCCCTGATACAGAAGTTCTCCTCTGACAGATTTAGATTATCCTGTATGTCATTTTCATATTGATAAAGTTCTTTGTCAAGTTTAAAATCAGGTAGCATCTGGACTATAGAGATTATGGAATATAGTATTTGAAACTGTTAAAACAGTGTTTTTACTTTACTCAGAGTTTTTTCTAAAGATATATGTAATAATTCTGATCTTCAAATATAGATTTGTCAGGTTTTTAAATACAAATTGGAATAGATATTGAGACAAATTTAGTAGCCATGAGGTAACAATAAACTTGCCTTGGACATTATATTCAAAGCAAACATTTTAGAAAGATGTGCAATTAAACAAACATTTTTGGTTAAACTCATTTAGCTTTTGTAAAATTCAGTCAAAAACAAAACACTAATGTTCATTCTTATAACTCCCTGAAAATTTACATCATTGTGCCCTGGTACTTTTGTAAATGGATTAAAATACAGTGGTATTGAAAGAGTATTGCAGACTATAAAAGGACAAAAAGTAGAGAACATTTTTAAAATGAAAAAGGAGATATACAATGAAATAATGGCAGAGAAATAAATGTGACGGTAAGAGTGGATGAGGACAATTCCAAAAGTCATATTAAGCATAAAATAAATGGAAACAGAGAACATACAGCCAATAGAAAAATTGGAATTACTTACATAAATGATATTAAATCATACTTTTTGCCCCAAGTCCTTCACTTCCCCTGTTTCAAGCCTCTCCCCTCATGACTTTGTAATGTCCACCCACTTCAAGTGGTGTTATTCGCCCAACCCTTTAACCGTGGGACGGAACAATTGGATTTTAACAGATTTGTTCCAGGGTTTCTGTGGACCTTCAGCCTCTACAATGAGAACATGTGTGAGTTAGCTTGCTGGTTTCTAGAGGAAGATGAGAGAGATAGAGAGCAGGGCCTAGGTATATCAGTTTAACTCCACCAAACTGCAGGAAGATGAGACAATTTAGTCAAGATCAACAGAAACACAAACATTGATTTAGGACATAAACAAACAAAATTCACTGTCATGGAGTGTATTCCAACTGAGCACCACCCTGGAGGGCCGGGTTTCATTGTCCTTCTGGGTCCCCAAGACAGTAACCAATGGGCACATCCTCGTGGCCTGCAGATTCATTGCTGGTTTAGAACTGCTGATTCTGTGATTGACAGTGCAACCCATAACTCCTGTACCACCAACACTCAACATTTCAATAAAAAAGTCAATGTGACCTAAAATGTACAGGTGTACATTGAGTAGCCTAAGAGTCTTTGTGGAAATCCAGTAAGCAATGGACTGCTAGCCACAAGGAAGCTGATTCAAACCCACCATCCAATCTGCTGGAGAAAGAAGAGGCTCTGATCTCCCTGTTTCTGTAAAGATGTACAGAGCCTCAGAAATCCCATATAAGGTTGCTTTGAGTTAATATCAACTTTCTGGCAGTGTGTTTTGTTTTTAAGTGAATAGCAACAATGAAAATTACAAAAGCAACCATTAGAGAGCCAAGTATCAATTACATTTTTTAAATTTCTGAATTTTAGTAAAAATTATTTTATTGTTCCTTTAATACTGTAGCTGTTTTAAAGTGCTATTCTGATTCAATTCAAACAAATCTATGCACAACAAAATGAAACATTGCATGGTACTGTTTTATCCTCAAAATCTTTGATTTGTTTGAGCTTAGTATTGTAACCATAATGCTAATGTATTGCATGAAGGATCTTACACGCATTGGCTGACGTAGTATATTATCAAGCATGATACCCTTCTTCTGGTCCTTGATAACAGATCCAAAGTCTGTCCTTCTCACTTCAAAGTAGCATTCTAGCTCCATTTCTAGAGTAAATTTGTTTCATTAGCAATCCAAACTGTGGTGGTACTTTGAGTTATGAGGAAGGCTGCTAACTCCAAGGTCAGGGGTTTGATCCCACCAGGCACTCCACATGAGAAAGATGGGGGTCTCCACTCAAGGAAAGGTGTATAGTCTCAGAAACCCATGTGGAATTTCTACAGAATAGAAATAGACTTCTTGGCAGTGAGTGAATCAATGAGTGCATATTTATTATAGTCTCCAACAATATAGTATAACGTAACAACACAATTCAAAAGCATCGATTATTCTTTAATTTCCTTCATTCACTTTCTAATTTCCTTCATTCACTACATTTCATGTACATATGCCATGAGTTGACTGAAAATGCCAAAGCTCGTGTCAGGCATTGCTTAGCCCTCGATATGACATCTCTATAGCTCCGTAAGGAGATCTTTTGTAATGGATTTGCCATCAAACGCTATCATTTGATCCTGTTCTTTAAAACAAACACACAACAATGTATTGTAATTTTAGCAAAAGTTTACCGAAGAGACTGTTTCCCACTCCCATTCATACACATTGATTTTGTGCCACGGAGTGCAGTCAGCACAATGTAACAGTGCTCTTCCCACTTCCTCCCTGCGATCACCATCTGCATTCACCTTCTTTAACACCCCTCCCTTTACTTGATTTCTTGAATGATATGACATTTCCATGAGTGTTGACTGTGAATCTACATAAAATGAAAGCATTTGAAAGTGCAGTTTTCTCCCTATCTATAATGATGGTGCCTATTGCTCCAGTTTTGAGAACTTCTGTTTCCGTTATGTAAAACGGTAATCTGTACTTGAAGGCCATAAGTAAGGGTTTCAAATCCTGTTTGTTCTCCTTAGGCAAGATCATCTTTTCTAAAGATTGTCTTCTCTAAATATGGCAAGTTGTTAACGAGTTTTTCTCCAGTACTGATCCTGTACTTTTCTTCACCTAGTCCAGGCATATAGATTGAATAAATACTGTAAAACCGTTCCTGTCTTTTAACCATATAATATCCACTTGTTCTGTTCAAAACACTACCTCTTCATGTATGTAAAATTTTGCATTTTTGTTTTGGAACTCCTATGCTTCAAATTGTTATCCTCAATTTATTATGACTCACAGTTTAATGCTTTTGCACAACCATTAAAAGTCAAGTAAACAACTTTCACGTATTTTCTGTTTTCAGCCCAAATCTATCAGGAATCCATAAAATCTCATTCATTCCAAGGCCTCTCCTCAATCTGAGTTGTATTTCTGACAGTTTCCCTTCAGTGTATTGCTGCAACTGTTTTTGAATTATCATCAGCAGATTTTTACTTGTGTGTGATAGTACTAATACTACGTGGTAATTTCCATGGTCCTTGGACTGCCTTCTTTGAAATGGGCATAGAATGGATATCTTGGAATCGATTGGGCATGCTGTTCTCCAAATAATTTGGCCATTAGATAAGTGAGTGCTTACTGTGTTGCATCTGTTTGTTGAAACATCTCAGCTGATATTCTGTTGATTTCTGAAATCGTGTTGCTTACAGATGTCTTCAGTGCATATTGAACTTCTTCCTTCAGTACCACTGGTGATGTGGTTAGGTGTCAATCAATTCTTATTGGCATAGTGACTCTGTGGGTTCCTTTAATTCTAGGATTCTATTATTCTAAGTTTTTTTCCTTTTATACATTGTGGGTAGAATATCTTATTTTTTCCTCAAATTAAATAAAGAATACAATTTTGTTTACATTTTAGATGTAAAGACAGAGACTATCCCTGTTTAGTCTATGAGAATATGCACAATTAAAACAACATCATGCATCCTCTTGTTTTTGAGCATTGGTTTCTTTCATCCAATGCAAATCATAACAAACTTGCCTGTCAGCATCCATTCTTTGAGAGCTCTTTCTTCATTCTTGAAAATGACACACGAATTGAGTGAAACATCACTAGAGGACAGCTAAAACTGTCTGGCAAAGGATTGAATTTTTATAGAACAGTAACTTGTTCTTTGTACTAAGTCATTTTGAATTTGTACATAAAGGATATTTCACCAACAGCAAAATACACCAGAGGTAAGTAAAGCACTTATTTTTAAAATTTTATTGTATAGTACCTCTCCTCTTTCAAAAGGAAAGAAAGGAAAAGTATATACATCTTCCAACTCTGTGGGCAATGCATTTGGTTTCCAAGTTGGGGGAATCGTTCCATACTTACATCTTGATTGGTCATCTCCCAGTAGGGTCTCTCGCCATAAGACACAACCTCCCACATCACTATCCCATAGCTCCAGACATCGCTGGCAGAGGTGAACTTTCGAAAGGCTATCGCTTCGGGGGCAGTCCATCTGATTGGAATCTTGCCTCCCTAAAGTAGAAAAAAGAATTTTTAAAATTCCCCCTCTAGTACTTCAAATGTATCTGGGGATATCGTTGCCTCACGGATGAGATCTAGAAAGAGATGTACCATTTTTAAGTGAATCTCTTTGACAGCATGGAGTCTCTTTTCACATATCTCAGGCCATCAGCAGGTATAGACTGACTACTAATTGGCTGTCCTGAAGGTTTCTAGTTTAAATTCTGTTTGACTACTACAACATACACAGGACCCACATCTCAATTACAATGCTCAAGATGGCAGTGTTAAGTAAGGAAATGCAGGCAGTCAAGCAAATCAATCAGGCACGCTTTGATGGCATTCCTGCAGAGAGTAAAAGATTCCAAATCCCTGGTGCCCTGGCCCTTTCATGCAGATATTGTACTTCTAGGTTGCTGAATGAAATGCTAAGAAATGGAACACTTAATACGACATGTAGGACAATCAGATATCTTAAACACCTCAAGCCATGCTCTCCCCAGACACAGTGTTTTTGTTATTTGATGATGTGCTTCTCTCATATTTGGTGTTGGTTCCATTGGTTAGGCTATTTGTTTCCTCAAAAGAGGTAGATACCTTATTTAATCCGACTGAATAATGAATAACTGAGATCTAACCATAAAATCTACCACCTTTCTCAAATGTCATGTTTTGATATAGCAACTAGCGTGTAGATTTTTTTCTCCCAAATTTACAATATACAGATTACATCTTGACTTTTTAGCGAGTGTAAAAAATCTTATTCTCTTATTATTTTTAAACAAGAAAGCCTGGGAAATCAAATATTTCATCTCTAAGAAAACATACATTAAGAGAAAACAAACAACAAGGTAAGCTTGAAATATTTGTCTGTAATAAGAATAACAGACAAATGTTCATTTCACAGGAAGGGAACACACTAAATTCCATACTGGAAAAAATGTAGTTTAATTTCTAATTTCTATTTAATAACCAATTTTTTTCTGCCACATTTGAAACATTATTAAAGTCTGAATTCATTGAAAAATAACCAGGATAATTATCTGGACTTTGGTAGTTTCTCTCACGGGCTTCATTAGAAACACCTTGTATATTATTTACTTTAAAAATCTTTAAACATTAAATTCTTCTTTAGCACTTTAGAAATGCATTCTGATAGATCTTACCCTTGTGGTGTACGCTGCCTCAGGATCATCTTCCAGCACCCTGGAAAGTCCAAAGTCAGACACTTTGCACACAAGGTTACTGTTGATTAAGATGTTTCTGGCAGCCAGGTCTCTATGTACGTAGCCCATGTCAGAAAGGTACTTCATTCCAGCAGCGATGCCTCTCAGCATGCCAACAAGCTGAATGACAGTGAACTGCCCATCATTTTTCTGTGAAGACAATATAGAAATATTAGCCTACCAACACCATTCACTGGGAGAAAATATCAAAAGATCTTGCTTTAATTCCCAAATTAAATACTATCACTTCATCGAAGTTCACATGCAGTTTTTATTTGAAGGAAAATGGACATAGCTAGGAAAAAATGTAGTGAAACTGGTAATACTTATCAGTCTGCTGTCTGATTATAGCAGATAAAGGCTTTGGAAGCTTATACTGAATATCTTATTATTACCCTTTACAGTATTGTATCTCTTCTATTCTGAGCTGTCAGAGGAACGGTGCATTCTTTACTCCAACTTAATACCTGCACATTTTTGAGGCAGGTATATTATTTAATTCAACCAAGTTTGGGTAGCAAATGGGAAAAAAGGCAGTGGGATAAGCATGTGGAGCAAAAGCTAAACTAGACGATCTGAGAGAAAATGAAGGAGCTGATGCAGAGTAGCGGGAAGGAGGAGGGCTGAGCATGGTTGGACTGCTCCAGAAGGTCATGTCTATGGAAAGGCCAAGGAAGTCACAATGGTCGCAACGACTAGAGCTCACATGATGTTTGTTTTGAAAAACAAGAACAATGCAACAATAAATGTAAGGAATTAGAGTTGTATATAGAAAAATTTGGCAGACAATGTGGTAGAGGCTAGAGATTGAAGGAAAAGGCAGCCTTCTCAATAGATAGCATCCAATCTATCACACAGGCCACTCATACATTGGCATTAATGACATTATCCTATCAATGTCTCTAATCAATAATTATAGTTCTACATTGAAAGTTCTAGTTTAAATTAGGTTCTCAAGAATGTTACATTATTTTACACAATATACAAATAAAATGGCTGAATATTCAAAATGTAGAGATATGCACATTAAAAATATCACAAAAGATTTAAAAATATTAACTACTGCCACTACTCAATGATCATGAAAGCAATGCTCAGGAAATCGCGCACACAACGAATGGGACAAATCTGCTGCCAAAGACCACTTTAATGAAGCAAGGGCAAATGCATGACTTTGAGGACTAACGTGCTTGACATAGACATGGTATTTTTAATTATTTTCCATGCATGGGAATTGGTGATGAGATTCATCTGGCCAGCCCTAATTCAGCAGAATCAATATCTAATTTTTTTGTTGATATTGGCAAAATGTATGTTAAAATGGCACTTTGAATCAAGTTCCTCTCTAAAGCTTGCAGCTGGGTAGCTGCCCAATGTGGAAATCATAAATGTTCATTCTTTACTCCGTTTTAACACTCATCTGGGTAACAGCATATTCCAAGCATCAGTAGTAATGTTCATTCTGTCCATAGGTATAAAAAGTTAGATGGAACTGTGCTTGTAGTATTTATTAATTCATTTCACAAACCCAATTATGCTCTTGATGAAATATTGCATTCTTATTCTCTTACATGTGTTACTTCGGTAAGCATTTAACACACAGAGAATAAGGACCAAACAAGAAGGTGACGGATGTCATTTGTTTCACCTTTGTGTTAAGCCTCAGAGTCCCATGAGATAGGAGAGAATTATGCTATTCCTGAAAGTAGTCAAAGAGCTAAACATAGTTCCAGAACAATTAGGCTCAGCAGAAGCAGAATGGAATTTTTCAAAGTTGAATTTAATATGTTCAGAGAAGAAAAGTCACCTGTTTCTAATGTATCAAACACACGGACTTGTAGCTATTTGGCCTACCTCGAAAGGAATGACTCCTACAGTGAAAAGATGGTTCAGGATGAATCACACAAGATAAAAGCGAAGACTATTGCAAGTGAGGAGGCTGATCAAGGAGCAATACTGGATTCCTTTAAATAAATGCTTTATTGTTTTTCGTCAAGTTTGATTTAGTATTTTTCATTAATATTTAAAATTATTTCTTATAACATACAAAATAACATAATTAAATACTCTAGTTCTGCAATCCTCTTTTATTGTTCTTATTTTAAAATATTAATGGTATAGAATAATAAACTACTTATGGAGATATCTCTTTTCTTTATACTTGAAATGGTCATTAGGCCAGTGAATCTTTTGAATTGCACCACCGATGTGAAGGCCAGACCACGAGAAAGGAAGACAGGAGAGGAATGGATGCGTTCAAATTAGGGTTTTGGCGAAGAATACTGAAGTTACCATGAACAGAAAAAGATCAATCTGATTTGGAGGCAATACAACCATAATGCTCTGTAGATGCAAGGATGTTGAGACTGTTTCACCTTCTGTGGATATGGTATAAGGAGGGTCCCATCCTTGGCGAAGTCGGCAGGTTTTCGAAACAGAGGGCCATTGAGAAAGAGAAAGTTCTCAGATAGAATGAGCTGACTGACATCATGGATGAAACAGTGATTGCACAGGAACCATTCTGAGGATCGCCGCGCAGCAAATCATTTCTCGTTCTGTTCTCCACGAGATCCTATGAACTGGGGCCTACTCTAAGGTACTTACAGCACTACTTGGTTTTACACTACTGTGTCAGCAATGGTGGGCCCTCAAGGAGAGTACAAGCATCTAGGACCCCATAGACCACCATTGATGTAGATGCTTTGCATTGATCGTGTGGACAAACGTTCCTGCTCTGTCTTTGATTATGTACTTTGAGGAAGTGAAGTGTCTATTAACTTTTTTATAATCCCTTATACCTCCACCCTTTGCCTCTTCTTCCCTGTCCTTTCCTGCCCTTTCGCTTCCCTCCCCTCTCTCGCTTTCTTCATCTTTACTATCTGTTTCATTTCATTTCTTCTTCCCTTCCTTTGAGAATTATCAAGCTACACTTAAGTAAAAGCCAAAAAAAATTACATGAATACCAATACCAATGAACACGGATGAAAATGTTCTAAGAATAATTGTGGCAAATATTGTACAACTCTTTTCGATATGGGTGAATTAGTGAATTGTGTGATATGTGGGTGAAGTGCCAATAAAACTGTTTTTTAAAAAGTATAAAAAAAACACATTGTCATCACGTCAATTCTGATTCACAAGAACCCCTTGCCTAAGTTATACGAAAAGTAAAAATTTCACATGGAAATGAATTATATAATTGCAGTATAATTTTTCTGATTATAGATATTCCTATCCTCTTTACACCATTTTCTTCTACATGGCTGAGTTCCATCTTCAACAACAAAGCAATATATATATATATATACACTCTGAATAATTGAATCACAGAGCTTACCTTTAAAAATGTATCTAAAGACCCATTCTCCATATACTCTGTCACGATCATTACTGGTTTACCTGGAAAGAAAGCAGTGATATAAACTACTGTGGTTTGTTATAGCATTCTTATCAGAAAAACATGGTTGTGGGCTTTATTATTCTAGTGCGCATTTGCGTATTACTAGATACTCTTAAAATTACAATACATGAAATTTAAACATATTTGAGATAAGCATAATGAGCATTGTGACAACAAAATTGTGTTTACATTGTTCTTAGTTAACATTTTTATTATGAATGAAAGGATAGCCAATACAATCATCAAATACATTATAATTAAGTTAATGGCATTACCCTGAAGAGAACCTTCATTTAGAGCTTTCATATTTACACATCCTGCAATACCAGGAATGCAAATATAAAGGTAGGTCATTTTATTTCTGCCATATGAAAAAATAACAGTAAGAGGATTTTTGTTCATTCCAAAATCATTTAAAATGCACAGTTTAGTATTATAAGATTAAACAAACAAACAAAAAACCTCACTGTTATTATCTGCGGCCTCCTAGTGCCCCTATGGGATATGATTGGACTGTCCCTGTGACTCTTCATGGGAGTAGAAAACCTTGTCTTTTTCCCATGTAGCTGCTACTGGTTTCAAACTGCTGATCTTTTGGTTAGTAACCCTGTTGGTAGCGTAACCACTACACCACCAGGGCTCCATTAGAATCTCATTTCTCATTTGAATAATTCTGTCATTTTAAAATACTTCAGCGTTTGTATTATTTTAATGGAATGTGGCAAGTGCTTGACAAAGACAAGGAGGCTTCTCTCACACTTTTTATAGTTTAAAAGTTAGAAAAAGTATATGTAAATTAATTCATTATATATATATATATTTAGGTGCTTACACTAAGCAAGACATTACTTATACAGACATTATGAATTGGAGATGTCATTTGATTTGAACCTTAAAAATTGAAGGGGTTGCTGGTGTGACAGATAGTCCACGTAAAGGGAGTAGTTTATGCCAAGGCATCTTGTCATGAAAGAGCCCATCAAGTTCAAAATATAGCTGGAACTCTGTAATTTGTGTGTGTGAGAGAAAGCGACAAGATCAGATGCAGAATACTGATTTCAGAGTGGAGTGGAATACATGCCCTTAGTCAAAAGGGTGAAAAGAGTGACATGAATTATATTTGTAAATTGCTCTAACAAGACCCAAGATTTTTTGGTTTTGGTTTTGGGAGTTTTAAATATGTTTCCTCCATAGTAAAGTTAAATTATAGAGAAGTGCTCCCAATTTAGACAGTTTTCTGTTCATATTGCCATGCCCATTTTAAGGGACTTTAGGACGCTACAAAATAGAAAAAGTCTGCATTGGGTCATTTCCATTTCCACATCGTAGATCCCATTTCAACTTCTTAAATTTACATTTGAGAAGCTAAGCTGGCCCTTCGCTGGAGAACAGTTGTGGAGCACATGCTACATGCGCTGCCCTTTCATGTGCCGGCTTTCCGATCATATGAAGCATGAAGGAAACGTGAGGGACATGTACATAAAAGGAATCCAGGGGTCACGTTGGCCCAGGTTTGTGCTTCGGTGCACAATTATTTGAATAATGTTAAGGTTATGACAGCCAAAAATGTGTGTGCTCCCGGACTTTAGCTGCAATAGAACTAGAAATAGTATTTTCCACTCTACGATAGGACTTAAGGCTTTTTCAGTTTTCCTGTGATATGTGGTGAGTCTAGTTCTACTTGCTCTCCTCCACAATTCCAAAACTGTAGAAAGAGGGGTCATACCGTAGAGTACTGAGGGAGCTCCATGCCAGTGGACACTCACATCCTCTCATGTCACATGTCTTCACCTGGAACCTTAGGGCTCAAACTTGTGAGGAGGTAATCACCAATCAATGTCTATTTTTATCTACTGAAGCTCAAGCCCTCTATGTTTCTAGGACTCTCTCTTTTACTTTTCCTAGTAATGTTAGTACTTTCCCCCTTTTTTACAGATTATTTTTTTCTGCTTTACAGTTTCATTTTAGACTCTCTTCTTACAATTATAGGTGAGAGATATTTGTCATTCCTTGTCATTGACTTGAATTCTGAGAAACATTCTGTAAATAAAATGCATTGATCAGACACTTACTAATGCTCAATAGTATGCATTTGCAAAGAAAAATAAGTTAGTGAGATAGTCAACTTGCACTCTTTTTATAATATTTTGTATCTAGAATCATCTAATTTTGAGTCAAGTTAATTTCTTATAGTAAGTACTTATTATAATGTCAAAATGAAAATGTTATAGAAAATGTTAAATAATCCTTATATCACAAAAATGGAGAAAAGCAATTATAATATGTTTCCACACAATCATGATCTTCTTTTGTTGACACAAATAAGACACGTTAGGACCTATTTGATTATTTTTCATGCTTGAGCCATTTTAAGTGTAATTAGTTTTAGTTTGGTTTATGTTTAGTCTTAATGCCTGATAGCCTGCAAGAATGACATAGCAATAATTAACATGGCTTACTCTAACCCTTGTAAATTCAATAAAACAGTATAATGCATTTTCCATTATCCAGCTCGAAGTATAAAGGGCAAATATGCCAATACTGTTAAACATATATTATCAACAACCCATGTAAAAATACCCAGTACAATATGCCAAATAATATTTTAACACCTAACCACATTTTTATATCACTTTATATTATTTTCCTATGACCAGCCAGGATATGAGACGCTGTAGATACATATTATTTGTAGAATTAATATTTATTATTGGTTACCATAGATAATTATAATTTAATGACATATTGATTATTTAAATCTATAAAAGGCAGTTATTATTAATTGTTCTGTTGTTTCTTTTTCCACACCACAGTACCTGCATTTTCTTAATATTTATTGTATTTAAGATTTTACTTTAAAATGTACAAATATTTATTTTTGTGTCAAACTTGTAATCTTGGATCTGTCATATGTCGTTACTTAACAAATGATAGCAGATTTGTGAGATAGTTAGCTTCTCTCAATCAATATTCTGTCTTAACATAAGATTATTATATATACTCTAAGCACTCTATAGTAAAGTGGTCTCATAAAATGTATTTTTGTTAAAGAAAACGTGGCTGCTGTTCTCTGCCTGCAAACAACCATCTGGAATGTTTAAGGGAGACCCAAGCTGCTGCTCATAAAATCCTTTTTTTCCCAGGAATTATCTCAAGTGATAATCATTAGGGGAAATAAATTTTGGAGATTTGTGGCATTGCTTTTGCTTCTAAGTGTGAACCCTCCTACATAGGCATCCCCTGGGAGCATGTTAGAATTATAAAATAGCTCTGCTTTCCCTTGGAGCTATTGAGATAGATGCTGAAGTTCTAATCTTGTATGTTAGAAACCCCCCAGGGCTACATTACATCTTGAGAAACACCCAAGTAGTCCTTGTCCCAGAACTGCAGATCATTGTGGGGCTGTTTGCATTCATACTGACTCCCATTTGGTACCACTTATTCATCAATAGAACATGGTACCATTTGAGGGAAGACTTGATTTAGAAGTAGCATAATTTATTGGAAAACTATGCTCATTGGGTTTCTCTTAGCAAAATTGTAGAAGTCTTGTAAATGATTAAACATATGCTCCTGTTTATGCTAGGATATCTCGAGGAGGGCTGGTGAGGTAGTGGCTAATATATTAGGCTGATAACCTCAAGGTTAACATATGGAACCCATCAGCTGATCTTCAGGAGAAAGATGAGGCTTTCTGCTGTCATAAAGATTTACAATCATGGTGAGCTATGGTCAGTTCTACACTGTCTTATCGGGTACTATTAGTCTGAATCCAATTAATGACAGTGAGTTGACATTTTTCAATCTAAAATTTAATGGCATTCATTTGATCCATTGTGATTTAGCATTCTAACATTTGTAGTTGTTTGAAATCACTTTCATTCTTCACCCAAGGGAAATGCAGGATAACCGAAAGATGAGTATGATGAAGCAACTATTAATGATCAGTGGTCAACCAGAAATTATGATATATGCCTTTCAATTACACAATTCTGCTTGATGTGATTGAACTATGGGTTGATATGATATGAATTAACTTTCAATTAAGAATAAATTAAAAACAAACAAACGGATTAATAAAAACATATTGATGCAAATACATTTACATCCAGGGGAGAGGGTGGAAAGAAATAGAAAATTCTGACTGAGAGGAAAACAACCAGAAAACATAACAAACAAATTAGCACGTAGTTAACATTTAGAAGGGTTCTCATATAGTTAATTTCTATTGTGTTCCTTAATTGCTGTCTAACATTTTAGGAGAAAATCATTTATATATTTATGCAACTTTCAGAAAGATGATAGAATGAGAAGGTCCTGGATACTCTGAAGTCTCAGGAGATGACTTTTATATGCAGAGAAGGGCTTTAATGGAAGTGGGTTATGTTTCTTTTAGCAGACCATATCCACAAAGAAACAGAGTATAACTTGATACACGCTGCCTACTAAATTCAGGACTTGCTGCTTCCTTAATCCTAGTCAGTAGTATAGAATAGAATTCCATCCAAAATTGGATTTTAGCCACAGGCGTAGAGTCCAGAATTATAATACCCCACAAAAGAAATTGTGGCATGAAGGGACATTGTCATTGACAACATTTCACTTGATTCCTCTGTGTTTCTCACACTTCCCTGAACATCGTTTCCCAGAACATGTATATGCCTGTTTTCAGAATTTCTTCATGTTGTGTATTGTGTTTGCCCACAATTAAATCTTGTCTACTATCTAGTTAGTGTTCCACCCACCCTGCAACCATCAAAGAATGTTTCTTTCTGTGTCTACATCTGTCCTTGGCTTTTTATAATAGTGATTTCAAACAGCAATCTTTGTATATTCATAATATATTCCAGATCCATCTGTGTTGTATGATCTTTGGAAATTTAGCATTATTCTATATTTATGTACAGTATCCCCTTGTACTTATACAACAAAGTTTAACCATTCAGTGACAGACATTTAGCTTGTTTCTACCTTTTTGTTATTTTGAATAATGCTGCCA